TGCCTATGATTCCTTCATTTTACAAACTTTGGTTGATAATCCTGCAATAATATCGTTTCAGCAAATGACCTCCGTCTATGCGAAAATGTGGATTTTTTTACATCCGGCAGCCTTCAAGGGTTAATCCTTTCAGGTGCAGTTACAAAGAATTGAAACGAATTCGAGCAAACTGTAAGATTAGTTTTGCCAAATTGCGCACCTTGTCGTCGAAATATTTCGGCACCCCGAGGAATACGCAAAGTCAGGTGCGAAAACGTTTGTTTTTTTGTTAGTTTGTTTATTATTATTTTATAGAACATTAGACGCAAATTTACACAACCCGCATATAGCATTAGCTAGTCTTGGCGGGTATTAGTAATAAATAAGTAAATACTACACATTGCAAGCTAAAGAAGTTTCATTACCACGATAAACTAAAGAGATTTTACAAGTCATAAAAAATTCGACAATTAATTTTTTTTCAAAATTTTTGGTATAGTCTGATAGCTAGTCCTATAAGCTTTAATTTGATATAGGGATTTAGATATCTACAGTTTAAACCGGACGCGCTACATCGCTTGCACGCGAGACACCCCTGAAGGTGCACGGTAACCTTAAAAGAGTTTCGAGTAAAATAATCTCGGGTGGTTCAAAGCACAATAAAATGGGAGGCACAGAGTTCGTTTTTGAGACATGGACACATAAAGCTGAATTAAGGGGTACGTTTAGGAGGATTGTGCCGTTTCCATAATAACTTGTTTTGCCTGGGAAGAAGCCTTAAGGGGGGGATTTTTATGATGGCAACAAGTAAAGGTGGAGAGGATGAACTCATCCATCAAACAATAGATTTTGAAATGTAAGTAAAATGTTTTGAGCGTTTTTGACTTCTTGTAGCTTTAGCTTGAACATTTTTGTTCGTTGTCGTGACTTGTCATACAACAATGTGTTAACGTTTTGTTAAAAAAAAAAAGAACACTTGTTCGCAAACAAGAACACATCACCAAGTTGAAGCATTCCGGTATTCTATCTCGCATACCTAGTAACACAATATTCAAAGTTACATCAAAGCAATACATTTTCGACGAATATTCTAATTCTGAAAGCAACTAGAGAAATACCTCAGTTGAATGCTGTTTACTGTCCTTGTTTCGAAAAAACCTTCACCGCAACTGACAATTAGAATTTCAAATTTGATAGGGCAAATTCATTCGTCTATAAAGGCAAGGCTAGCTGTAATTTGGATCTAGGACTTTTAAACCAGCATAACCAAATCAGATGTCTTTGACTTTTGAGATCCATTGTTCTGGCAGACTATAATATTCTAAATTTAATTTAATTTATTAGCTTTGCCAATAATACATATAACCTATAACACAGCCGGATAGAATAAAATAGCAATAACAATAACAATAATGGGCAGGCAACCACAACAGCGATAGCCAATTACTGAGGTCCCAAAAGTATTAAAATGGTGAAACGATCACATCAATGATTAATAATTAAGAGCAACATAGAGTTAGTGTTGTTTTCAGGCTGCGACATGAATTGCATTTTGTACAAATAGTTTTATAAGTCCTGGGAATGTCAATGTCATAGATCTCTCTAAGTGCGGTCGAATAATAACACATCAAAACACGTTTAAAGTCACTCACTTTGTTCATACTTAAGTTAAGCTCGTCAGACAATGTGTTCCAGATTCTTATTGTTCGTACAATAAATGAACGTTGAAAGTTTGAGGTCTTGCATTTAGACACAAAGTATTTAGTAACAGTTGTATTGGCCGACAATCGTGTGTGTCTTGTAGAACGGGGAGTAGGAACAATTTCGGGGTCTATATCCACCAAACCATGGGTAATCTTAAAAAACAGTAACATATCTAAGTATTCATGCCAGTAGCTAATAGTTAGTAAGGAAAGAGTTTTTAGTCGTTCTTCATAACTCTGAGAGCACGAGAATGGTAATTTCAAGATGTATTTTGTAGCCCTTCTCTGTATCTTTTCTAGATTTGAGATAAGATAAATAGACTGTGGTGCCCAAACTTGTGTAGCAAGCCCAGATGAGGTCTAAGGATGGTTAGATAGATTGATCTTCTTACACTGGTATTTTGTATGTGACGCGTGTTTCGTTTAGCAAACCCAAGGAGCTTGTTTGCGCTTGAGCATTGCTCTAAGACTTGGCAATTCCATGTTAGGTCAATGGAGACCCAGACACCAAGATCGCGTTCGTGACTTGTTTTCTCCCACATAGCTCCATTCATATCGTAGGCAGTATTCAGTGGCTTGATTCTACGTTTGATGGACTGGTGGTGGCTTTTCGTCTCATTAAATTTTAAGCCCGATTCTGTGGACCAAGATCCGATATTATTTAAGTCCATCTGGAGAGCAATTTCATCATCAGTAGATCTTATTTCTTTGTACAATTTGGTGTCATCTGCGAACATTACAGTTTCGCTCTCGGAGATCATGTTCGGAAGGTCGTTTACGTAGAGCAAAAACAGAGCGGGTCCCAAGATGGACCCCTAGGTGACTCCTGATGTAACAGGTAATGCATCAGATGTGGCGCCAAGAACAATAACGCGTTGGAGACGACCTGTGAGGTACGACTGGAACCATTCGTATAGTTTCCCTCCAAAACCAGAGATATGAAGTTTAGAATTTGCTGTCTCGACCTTCCCAGTCTCTATTCAGCTTGGCAGAAGGTGTTAGGAGAGCTCTAAAATGATAATTTTCTTGGCACTCTCGAGGATCCAGATTATATCAGTTCTTTTTCTAAAAAGTTTACAGAACACTTCACATTATTTACGACAGTTCTAGGACTGTAGATTAGATGTAGTTTAATAGTTTCCTGGTGAGCGGATGCAATCGCAAGAGCGCAAATTACGAAAGGCTGTCCTTTCCTCGCGCTTGTCTCCGCACGACAGAAAGCGTCATAAATATTACGTTTCTTCCAGATCTTCAATTCCTCATAGAAATTCATAGGTATCCTCCTCCAGTCGCATTCAGAAAACCATGAGGTATCTATTATAGTTCTGGCCATTAACATCATTAAGATGGATTTTACTGGCTGTGATAAGCTACAAAGCACAGGCATGTCAACTTTGGTAGTAAACACTCTACAAAGAATTTTATCTCGCTCTTTCTCTTGTCATTCCAACTTTCGTGACACCGTGATTGTATGCTTACTTTCTCTTTAAATATCTAAATGGTGGAGGAGTAAAGGAAACTTCAAGTAAATTTAACGAACAAGCAGACTATAAACGAAGAGTGTCACATTCAGTCAATCTATCCTTGTAAGAAATGGGTATAACATCGATTGGTAGCTCGTGCAAACTAAGATCGATTGGTAGCTCGACAAAAAAAATTCGATCATTTTAAGCAACGAGCCAATCTCGAGTCTTGTTTACTAGTTTCAAAGGAATTTTTTTGTAATGGTAAACAAATACCTTTAAATTTTGAATAATTTGATGAAAAATAACCTAACTTGAATGCTACAGGCAAAGCCTTTGACGCCAGAGACAACAGAATTAATATACATAAAAGAACTGTAGATGCGTTTGACTTATTCTCATAGGATTTTTTATACACTCCTTTAACTTTTTCTTGTCGTGATACAACGAAACTGCTTGCACTTCGATTACATCAGCACTCAATCAAAATCAAACCAAAAATGCTTGAAAACAAGTCTTAAAGAACCTACCTTAGCAATACATTGTGTTATGAGGTTGTCACCGCCTCTGTATGATAAAGACCGATTTTCTCTCCTGTAAGATCACCACAACCCTCTAAAAGCTGCTGTAGTGGGTATGTATTCGATTAATCTCTGCCCTCTGGGAAAACCTTATGCTCGAGCTTCGTAATTCGATTGTTCACGTTCAAATAAATAAACACGATTCCAAGTAGAAACCCCACGACGCAGAAGAAGAACAGAGATACCAAGGTGAAACGAGCAACGCAGTCATCAGACCGCTTTCCTGAAACCGCCATAGCACTGCGTGACGCTACTGAAATTGTTTTTGACCAGTGCTTTGACCTAATTTGTAAAGATATGCAAAATTACGCCTAGGTAAATAACGCTTCCTCTTTTGTATTTAGTATTTACACTGTGCAAACATCTCAACTAGCCTTTATTTGTGTGTATCTTATTCGAAGGGGGATCTGATATTTCAGTGAAAAATGTTGCATTATCTCGTAGAATACTAATGTAAGAGAAAAATACTAATGTATTTTTAAACAAAAATCATAAATTTAAAATGTAAAATTAAACCCAGCATGTTCCCAAAGTTAGAGACAGTAGATAAACGGAAATTATCAAGTTCTGCGAGTTTCATGTTTAAGCCTTGTGTCTTTTGAGATCTTTCCTTCTTGAAAATTACAAATTTTCTTAAGCGCCACCAAATCACAGAAAAATGAACGGAGTCTAACAAAAAACGAACCTCAACCAGGAATCTCAGGTGAGGGGACAGTTATCCATGGGAAGGCAAATACATGTAGATACAAAAAATTCGGTTAATACTCACATCTTATGAATTAAAACTCCAAAAAATCCTCTTTTAGCTATCCCAACACTGAGCAAGTTGATGCATTTAAATTTCAAGGGAGGTACAAGAGTCGTGAAGTTTTTTTTGCTGTACTTTCGAGTTTAAAAGAAATGGACTGCATTTGCGCTGTTTCTACTCATAGCTAGTGCAACAATCTAAAAAGACAGAGTAGAAAAGCAACTGCCGATGTCACGAACTTTAAGAACTAGCACAGTCCGACATGAAACATGCATGGTCACGAGGCATCCTTAGAATTCATAAATGTCCGCAAGTTGCAGCAAAGTACAGCAAGGAAACAACCAGTGGGGTTTGTACTAAAAGTTATGTCCCTATGTGTGTACAATGGTTGCCAGGCAGTGCTAGTTTTTATGGAGCTCGTGATCTGGGTAGAAAGCATGCATTCTTCCTTGTAAACCTTTAGAAATAAATTGTCACTTTACTTCATATACATTGTTACTATATCTTTACATTTCATCGCCAGTTTCCCCGAGCAGGATAGTGACATTTTTCAGCTCTGATATTTCAGATTCTATACAAATCCTTAATTGTTCTGATTTGAGAGAAAATGAACGAGATCTGCAGCCAGAATGGCATACACAGTAGCGAGTTCACTCATGTACATTCGCCTCATCATCGCGATTGCTTGAGAATTTGGCATCATCAACCCCTTCCTCAAAGAATTTCTGAAAATGAAGGCAGATTACAACAATTTAACTAGATTTGTGAATAGTCTTTTTAACAAATCCAAGGGGATAAGAAAGCAAGGATAAACAGCTTACCTTCCACACATTTTGATGGAAATTCTCTCCGTGATCACTGTTAGTTTGTCCCAGACCTCTTATAGGAGACTTAAATTGTCGGTCGTCATCAGTAAGAAACCCTGGGTCATATATCGCCAAGTAGTTACGTAACTGGATATATACATCAGCGTGGAAGTTCTCTGCAACACTGTCAGCTAATTCTTTCAACTCTTCCATACAGGATCGGATGTTTGTTTGGTCGCAAATGGATTTCTGTAGAGAAGCTGGAGAAGCGCAAATGCCTCACACTGTGGCCACTTATTACAAACACGTATGTATTTGTATGAACTTCGCGTTTGAGTTCTTGTTATTCGACCTGAATTCTGGGACGTCGTGTCTATAAAGCAAGGCTAGTGATTAATTAAATTTTTGCAAATTTAAAGGAAGTATTTGAATCAGTTATGTAACCGACTGGAATCTCAGAGGCTGTACTTAGTATTGTTTCCGGAGATTACTTCTTCTTAAGATAAAAAACAAAAAACAAATACAGAACAAAAAAAAGAAAAACAGAAGTACAGAAAAACAAAAAACAAAAAAAAAACAAAAATCAGAACTACGGACATTTCTTTTGCGAATTTTACCTGTATGGTAATCGTGTCGTCTACGTTAACATTGCTCCACCACCACCCTGAAGGGATGTAAAGTATCTCCCCTGCCTCCTGTACACATTCTTGTGGTTTGTGATCATCTTGTAATTCAGGTCTAGTATAAATCCACCAGGTAAATGACTCAGACTGCTGAGAGGTCTGTGTTCGATGATTATTGTGATTTACTCCTAAAAGATGATTAATTCAGTGCTCATTTGTATCTATGAAGGGGATTTTTCAGTTTATATCAAAATGTCATCCGGCATGAAGATGATGAGAATGGATAAACATGGTAACTGAGTGTGTTTTTGAATTTAACATTAAGTTATATTCACTTATTCACAAAGGAAAAGTGTAACAATTACAACGCCGGAAATTTCTAGGTTAAATCTTTGGGAGTCCAAGGGTTAACTGAAATGGCTGACAATCTTCGAGGCTGGTGCTTTAAAAGGCTAGACGAAGGGTTTAGTTCAAACTGACGTTCTAAACCTTACAAGTTTCAATGTAAGGAAAGCTATATATCTTGTAATCATCTCGAGGATGGTTATACCATGAAGTGAGTTTGATCAGAAAATCATATTACTCGACTCAACATGGTAAGGTCAAAGTGTGCTTCACAACTGTTGTCTAAAGTGAAGGAACCTTTACAAGGTCTGAGAAGAAACGTTTCGACGAATTGGTCCCAATCATACGAAGCGGACAAGAGGAACGTAGAGGACAACTAAACACACACACACACACACACACACACACACGTACGCACGCACACACATACACACACACGCACACATACACAGATACACAAAAACAGACTAAATCTGAATTTGCCAAATTTAAAAGAGCGGTTCCGCCATGAAAATTGTAACGCACCCGGTACATAGTACTTTGATGGTGGATAAAGACCCCAAAGCTTTTTGCCTTGTATCAGAGCGCTCCATAATGAGGCATTTAGTGCCTCTACGCGCCAGTGAAAACCAGACCTTGTTGGAGCCATCTCGAAAGAAAGCTGGGGAGGACGAATATCTTCGTCCACAACTTCCTGAAAATTTAAAAAGTTGAAGAAAGATTTCAGTAAGCAAATAATACATACATACATATATATATATATATATATATATATATATACAATTATTTAGGAAAATAAAAATTAAAACTTCGCACTAAAACTTCGCACTACAGATCTGTTTCGAAAGGGTTAAAAGTCCTCTCTCGTCAGGTGGGTAAGATACTAGTTGACTAACGACATTTTTTACGTAGGTGGTTTGAGCATGCCTTATCAAATATTTAGTTGAGTGCCGGCACGCACTCGCCAGTTCGTTCCTTTTGTTTAGGGTGCCCGCCCCTGTTCTGCATATGATAAAGAATTTTTCAGCTATGCAAAGATTGCATCTCTTTGTAGTATTTGAGTACGGCCTGGCGCGAGCTATTATTTTCCAGGTCACGGAAAACTCCGTTTCAGCATCCTTCAGGGACCAGATATATTTGCTCAACTCTGTTGCGTTCCTTTTGTTCTCATGTCTAAATGAGGCTGTATGATTTCTAAATCTTGTTTTAAATTGGTTCGCAGTAAGGCCGACGTATGTTTGGGTTCCCAGGGGACTTTCAACTGTGGCCTTGTAGACCACATTTTGAATTAGGCAATTGCCACGTAGCGGGCAAGAGTGTTTGTCTCTACAATTGCATGATTTTTCTTGTGATGGAGAGTTATTTGCGAGGGAGGACTTGTTGTGGGCGTCGATTTTTCTTTCTAAATTTGGTATGCATGAATAGCTTACTTTCAAAGTGTTCCTATTAAAAATTTTTCTTAGCGGGTGCCCTGGCGAAAAGGACTCTTTTACGATGCCTAAAAATTTTTTCCCACGTTAGTAGCAACGTTCTTACTAAAAGGTGGGTTATACCAAGATATATTTCGGTGTCTACCTCTCCCTTCTGTACTCCTCTGGTCTTTAGTTGTTGTGTCAAATTTTAATTGATGATTATAGCCACTTGCTTCTAACGCTTGCTGATACATGGGTGCTGCTTTGTCGAAGGATACTCTGTCCGATGAAATTTCGCTAAGCCTTTTATTGATCGCCAGGGGAATGTTCTTTAGGATGGAAGGTGGGTGATTACTATCACAGTGCACATACAGAGGTGTGTTGTTAGGCTTTGAATATGGCTCATGAGATCCTTTCTTTAGGTTCAAAGTGACATCGAGAAAGTTGACCACTTTTTTGTTTGCTTCGATAGTTATTTTCAAGCCGTTGGTGCTGAACACTTTGCAAATATCTTTTTTAATTTTTTCGATCCTTCTCGGTATTTACTGGAATGCGCCCAGGCCGTCATCCTTGTATAAGCCTATTTGTTTTCTGATGTCTTCTGGCAGTTGGTTTAGTAAGTACGATCCCACTAGTTCACAGGTTTCCGCACCGTCATACGAGCCCATTGTAACATCAAATGAAGTTGTTGAATGCTTTTTGTTCCATGGGGTGTTGTCGTTGAATTGAAGTGATTGCTTGGTGTGAAAAATAATTCTTCTATCTTCCGCGGAAATGTGGTATAGGAAGCCGCGAAAGATAGAGCGTCGCTTAGAAGCTTGTATGAAATGGACGGGTAGAAGTTTACAATATCGAAGGCAATGAACGAGTGTTGGTCTTTGTTAGGGATATTGATGAACCAATCGAGGGTCGCTCTTATGTTTTTCTATTGATGAACGTTGGTCTTATCGATGACGGCTTTGTTTATCTTATCAAGGATTTGCTTGCTTACTTTGCCTATCTCTGATTTGGTTGGATTAATCAGGAGGCATGTAGGGTTGTTCTGAAAGTTGTTCTTATGGTCTTTCAACGTAATGAATGATTCTTTAGGTGCCAACATTTCAACTCTATCGTCTATCTTTAGGGTTTGGGCGAGGTCTTTCGCTTCGGTGTTAATATGCGTTTCGGCGTTAGCGGGGGCTTTCTTGTACTCCTTCTCTATGTTTTTGTTCAGCAGTGACTTATAGTCGTTAGCATTCATCTTATAGAAATTCGTGGTTTTATCTGCTGTTACATACAGGTTGCTGTCCTTGTTGATGGAATCGACGTGCTGTGATATTTTTTTCTGGAATTCGGAAGGGCGGGGTGCTTTGAATTCGATGTTTCGGATCAGGTTAGTCATCTTATCTTCGAATTCATTAAGCTCAGGCACTTGCGGTGGTGTTTTCTTTGAGTTTTT